TATGTAGCAGAAAGAGGGGGTTTGTACATAAAACTCTGAATTTATGATGTCAGTGGGGTGGAGTAGTGGATGGAGCTGCAGGCCTGGAGTCAGAAAGACTTGAATTCAGATCCAGCCTCAGACACTCAGGCAAGTCACTTTACCTCCCTCTGTCTTCCTCATCTGCAAAATGGGGATAATAACAGCATCTACCTCCCAGGGTTGTTGTGAGGATCAAATGATAAATAATTGTAAAGCACTTAGCCCAGTACCTGGCACATAGTAGGCACTATCTAAATGTGAGTTATTTTTACAACTTGCTTTTCTTTTTAAGTATATAATAAATATAACATGTTACTTTGAAAGCTGTCCTGACTGTGATTCCTTCTGGATTTCTTTCTGTTCTCTTCTGTGCTTTTCAAAAATGTGTGTCACTTTTTAAATTTCTTTTTAGCAGCCTAGCTTCTCTTTGCCTCCCCACCCTACCTCTCCTATTAAGGAGGGGGAAAAAACAACAAGCCTTTGAAGGACATATATATACTCAAGCAAAACAAATTCCCATGTTGCCTGTGTCTGAAAATGTATGTCTCCTTCTGTATCTCGTGTCCCATCCCCTGTCAGGATGCTTCCCTAGCATGTTTCTTCTTCAGCTGTTTTCTGGAATTGAAGCTGCTCATGGTATTGATCGTAATTCTTAAGTGTTTCTTGTCTTTACAAGGTGATTATTGTGTAAATCGTTCTCTTGTTTAGGCTTAACTCACTCTGCATCAGTTCATAGAAGTCTTCCCAGGTTTCTCTGAAGTCAACTCTTTTGTTATTTCTTATGGCGAAATAATAATTCTATTATGTTCATGTGGCATAATTCCCCCAGTGGATGGGCACCCTCTTGGTTCTAAGAAAGAGCTGCTATAAATAGGTACATATAGATCCTTTTCCCTTTTCTTTGATCCCTTTGGGGGCATAGGCCCATCACAGGGCCAAAGGGTATGTATAATTTAGTGACTAGCTATAATTCCAAACTGTTTTCAAGACTGCCTGGGCCAATGCACCAACAGTGTGCTGATGTGCCTGTTTTCCCATAGCCCTTCCAACAATTGTCATTTTCCTTTTTTGTTTTCTTTGCCAATTTGATGGGTATAAGGTGAAACCCAAGAGATGTTTTCATTTGTATCTCTTCGATTATTAGTGAGTTGGAGCATTTTTCATATGCTTATTTGGATTCCTTCTTTTCAAAACTGCCTGTTCATATTTATTGACTATTTATCTGTTGGAAAATGACTATAAGTCTTATGCATTTGAATCAATTCCTTCTTATCTTTGATATGAGAGCTTTATCAGGGGATAAAAGTCTTTTTCTTTATCAGAGAAACTTTCTGCAAGGATTTTTTTCCCCGATAAACTGTTTGCTTTCTAATTTTAACTACACTGTTTTTGTTTTTGCCAGCCAGTTTGCCTGGAGATGTGATGGAGAGTGAGTGAAGAGACATAATGTGAGAGGGCTTAACCCTATGTGTAAAATAAATTTGTTTAATCCCTCAATTTCTTTGAGGGTTATAAAATGCTTTCGCTTTCTTCACAGTTCTCTGAGGTAGATAGTGTAAATATAGCTTCTTAGCCACATTTTGCCAATGAGGAAACTAAGAGTGAGATGACATGACCTACCCTTGGATACCCGGTGACTTCCTGGAAGACCTGGGACTTGAACACCCATGTTTATGGACTCCTGAGTCCATTGTTCTTTCTACTGTAGCTCTAGGATGAAGGGGTCGAATGATCTCTTTAGTCCTTAGCAGCTTTAACAACCTAAGTTTCTTAGCATATTGCCCTATACAGACAACACAGGTGCTCAGTGATTACTAATAGGTACTTCATGATTAATAAAGTTGTGCAGAGTGCTTTAACATTATTTCATTTCATCCTCACAAGAACCTTATCTCGGAGGTAGATATCACAGATATTATAATCCCCATTGTACAGATGAGGAAACCCGAGGATCAGAAAGAGACTTGCGCATAGTTATACAGTTCCAAAGGTAGGATTCGAACTCAGGTTTACCCAACCCCAAAGCTAGCACTCTATCCGTTATGGTGAACTAAAAATACTAAGTGGTTTGTGGCTTCACTTGTACCCAGTTTGAGCTTAGAGAGTTGGAGAAAACTAGCATCCCCTGGCAGGGAACAGGAGGAGACGGGGGATGGGGAAACTTTGTATTGCCCCTTAATTGATCAGTCAACAAGCATTTATTAGGTACCTCCTGCAGGCCAACCACTATGTGAAGTGCTGGGGATACAAAGAAAAACTAAAAATAGCCTCTGTTCTCAAGAAACTCATTTTATATTAACATGTAAAGAACTAAGTACATGCCAGATACATAGACAGTCAATGGAAGGTAGGCTAGAGGGAAAGGCATTATCAACTGAGGGGCCTGGAGGAGGCCTCATGCAGAAGGTGGCATGAGCTGAGCCTTGAAGGAAGCCAGGGTACTGGTACCAGACAGGCAGAGATGAGAGGTAGAGCCTTCCAGGTGTGTGAGGTATCCAGTGAATGCAAAGGCCTGGCGGTGGGAGATGGAGAATTCCGTTTGATAGACCAGTGTAGCTGGATCACAGATTGCAGGAAGGGGAGCAAAGTGTAAGAATACTGAAAAGAAATTGATAAATGGTCAAAGGATATGAACAGGCAGTTTTCAGAGGAAGAAATTAAAGCCATCTATAGTTATGTGAAAAAATGCTCTAAATCATTACTAATTAGAGAAATGCAAATCAAAACAACTCTGGGTACCTCATCATACCTGTCAGATTGGCCAACATGACAAAACAGGAAAATGACAAATGTTGGAGAAGATGTGGGAAAATTGGAATACTAATGCGTTGTTGGTAGAGTTGTGAACTGATCCAACCATTTGGGAGAGCAATTTGGAACTATGCCCAAAGGGCTATAAAAATGTGCATACTCTTTGACCCCGTAATAGCACTTTTAGGGCTGTGTCCCAAAGAGATCATAAAAATGGGAAAGGAAGGGGCAGCTCTGTGGATAGAGCACCGGCCCTGGATTCAGGAGGACCTGAGTTCAAATGCGGCCTCAGACACATAACATTTACTAGCTGTGTGACCCTGGGCAAGTCACTTAACCCCACTGCCTAGCCAAAAAAAAAAAAGGAGAAGAACTCACATGTACAAAAATATTTATAGCAGCTTTTTGTGGTGGCAAAGAATTGGAAATTGAGAGGATGCCCATCAAATGGGGAATGGCTGAACAAGTTGTGGTATATGAATGTAATGGAATACTATTGTGCTATAAGAAATGATGAGCAAGCAGACTTCAGAAAAACCTGGAAAGACTTGTATGGACTGCTGCTGAGTGAAGTGAGCAGAACCAGGAGAACATTGTACACAGTAACAGCCATGTTGTGTGATGACTAACTTTGATAGACTTAGCCCTTCTCAGCAATGCAAGGATCAAAGACATCTCCAAAAGTCTCATGATGGAAAATGCCATCCACATAGCGTATCCACAGAGAAAGAACTATGGAGTCTGAATGCAGATGGAAGCATCCTATTTGCTCTGCTTTTTCTTCTATTTTGTTTCCTCTTTCTTGTGGTTCCTTCTATTGGTTCTCATTCTTCTTTACAACATGACTAATGTGAAAAAAAAAAGAATACTGGAAAGATGAGGAGGGGCTGGCTTGTGAAGAGCTTTAAAAGCCAAACCGAGGAGTTTATGTCTGATCCTCGAGGTAATAGGGAGCCACAGATGTTTGAATAGGGAAAGGACATTAGACTACCCTTTAGGAAAAATCACTTTAGTAAACTGTGTGGGAGAGACATGAGGCAGGAAGACCAATTAGGGTCCTGTAGTGCCTCGAATTAGGGTTGTGACTGTGTGAGCAAAGCCACGGAGTCTGATACAAGAGATGTTAATGAATGTGCAAAGGCTAAGACTCGGCGGCTGATGTGGCTGGGGGTGGCACCAGGGTGGTGAGCTTGGGAGGATGATGGTGTCCCTGACAGTCACAGGGAAATTTGGAAGAGGAGAGGACTATCTGTTTGTTTTGATGGGCAGGGATGACAGGGGATGGCAAGATGATGGATTCTGTTTTGGATATGTTGAGTTGGAGAGCCCGTGGGGACAGTCAGGTCCAGGTGTCCAAAAGGAAGGTGGCGATGCTGACCTGGCACTCAGGAGAGAGACAAGGGCCGGATGTAGAGATCTGGGAACCATCGGCGTAGAGATGATCATTGAACTCGTGAGAGTCGATGAGATCTCCAGGTGAGAGGCTGTAAGAGAAAAAAGAAGATGGCCCAAGATAGAGCGTTGGTGGCTGCCCACCGTTAGTAACACAGGTGACGAACTAAGAAAGGAACAAGAGAATGAGCTGTGAAAAAAAGTAGGAGGTGAGAAGAGAGAGCAGTGTGATGATACCCGGGCGAAGGGGGTCAAGAAGGCTGTGGATCGAGCGTGGCTTTTCACATTCGAATCGACAAATTAAGAGGTCTTTGGTCACTTTAGAGAGAACAGTTTCAGTTGAGTAGTAAGATTGGAAGCCGGATGGTTTAGAAGAGAATGAGAGCAGAGGATGTGGAGGCCCCTCCTGTAGCCGGCTTTCTCATCAAGTTGACCCCGAAAGGGGAGGGGAGATGTAGGGTGATAGCTCAGGGGGATGGTAGGACCAAGTGAAGGCTTTTTAAGGATGGGGGAGACATGGATGTGTTTGGAGGCAGCAGGGAAGCAGTTGTGGGAGGGGAGAGTGACACTCTGATGGAGAAGATGGGAAGGCATGGTGGGGCCAGACGTGTCTGCAGAGGGGCTGGCCTTGGCAGGCAGAAGTAGGGCAAGGCCAGTGTGAGAGCCTTGTGAGAGGAGAGGGGGAGAAGAGGGAACTCTCATCCAGTGGCCTCTAGTTCTTTGCCGAAGCAGGCATTGAGAGCCGACGGGGTCTGTGGAAGGTTTGGGGGGAGAAGCGGAGGTTTGGAGCGGCTGCTGTGGGTCCCTCGTCCTCATTTTCAGTCTTTGCCTTTCAGCCCTGTCAAGGACGATCTCTATGTTCCAGGAGAAGGTAAAACTGAGAATACTGAAAGAAAGGCTCCTCGGGCAGAAATGCATCAGTCCAAAATGGGGGAAGGTAAGGAAGGTGGGCAGAGCAGTGGTCAAACAAGGAAGGGGTTTGAGGCTCCAACTTGGTTGGCTTGATGCTCCCAGGAATTGAGGGAGATGTCAAGGGCCCTGCTCATAATCCTTTGTATGGTTTAATGGAAGGAGCGCTGGATTTCGAGTCTTGCCGAGTTCAAATCTGCCCTCAGACGCTTAGTAGCTGTGTGACCCTGGGCTAGTTACTTAGCTCGGTTTGCCTCAGTTTCCCATCTCCTTCTCCATCTCATTCCTTCTCCAGCTGCAGATGAGTTGGAGAAGGAAATGGCATACCCCTCTACTATTTTTGCCAAGAAAACCCCAAATGGGGTCACGAAGAGTCAGACATGAGTGAGAAAGACTGAACAACAGCTCCAAATATGACTTGACTAGATCAGAAGCCTGTGGGACTGTCTTTATCATTATCATTCTGAATATCCACTTCTCTTTTAATCAGCCATAAAGCATTTATTAAATACCTACTAAATTCCAAGCAGTCTGCTAACTGCTGAGGATACAAAGAAAGGCAAACACATGGTTCCTGCCCTCAGGGAGCTTGCATTCTAAGGCAGGGGAGGGAGGAGACAAAATCTATGCACAGAATACATACAGAGCAGAAGGAAAGTCATCACTAGCTGCTGAGGAACTAAGAAAGGCCTCCTGCAGAAGAGGTTTTTAAAAAGCCTCTTTTTGATGTCTATAATATCTGTTGCTCTCCTCTGCTCATTCTGGGCCTTTGTACTCTTGACCCCATTCTCCCAGGACCATGCCCCTAGTATGTCCCTGTCCCACATGGCCTTCCCTTCCTCCTGGCCTCTCCAGGTTCCCTACGCAGCTGCCCAGGTTTCTTTAGGCCACTGTCACATATAGGTTGGGCCAGGTGCCCTTTGTGGTCCCTTCCCATTGGGTGACCCTTTGATTCCATGGGCAGCCGCTCATGGTGGATCCCCAGGATTGACCTCTTCAGATGGTCGTGCTCTGTGGACCGTGCATCGGGATGGAGAAGTCCAGCTAAGGATGGAGAAGTCTGGCTATGGGAGTGAGACTCCGATGACTGTTCATCAGTTCATGAGGGAAGCTGTCATGAAATATGGAGATTACATGGCCCTTGGAACAAAAAAGAAAGATTCCTGGCACATGCTGTCTTACAAAGAATATTACCTAGAGTGTTGGAAGGCCGCCAAGTCTTTTCTCAAGGTAAGTCAATGGTTCTCGTTAAAATTTTGGTAAGAGTGAGTTAAGGACTGATCTCCAGGGAGGATGAGCACTTGTTGGGTGGGATGGCTTCAGAGATCCCTCCTAGCTTTGTACCCATACCGTTATTTGCTTCATCTTAAAACAAAACAAAACAAAACATCCTAACAATTTGCACCATCCCTGTGTGGGGCCAGAGATGGGCTGCGTGTCTGTCTCCCAGAGCATATCTCACTAGAGTTCACAGAGTCTCCTGACCATTTTGGCTGCAGGATAAGGCCTTTTTTAGCTACAGAAACTCTGGAAGACAGAAGTTGACAGAGATGCAGAGGATAGAGCTTATATCCATGGAACCAGTGCCTGTACTGTGAAGTCAGGAAATGATGGTTTCAATGGAGAAAGCCGAGAAAATGAGGAATAAAGCCCCAAATCAAATCGTGTCATCTCCAGTGTTCCCCTGTGGAGACTCTTTAATCTTAAAGATACAAGTTGTAGTTCACGCTCTGCAAACATGCATTTTACCTAGCTCATTGCAGGAATGTCTCGTATGAGATAGGTAGCACAGGTGTCACCCTTTTATAGCCAAGAAAGCTAAGGCTTGGGTGAAGGAAAGTATACACAGCTAATATCAGAGGTAGGATTCAAACCCGAGTCTTCTTCATTGCCTTGTGATACTGCCCTCAGGAGGTTTGTGATCTTGGGCTCCTAGGGCCGACCAGATGAGAGTTTTTCCATTACGTTTTTCAGACCTCAGCATCTGCCAAGGACGCCTTTGTTGAACACCTGTTCACCTTGGCCCCCATATCCCCGTGATGGGATCACCCTTGAAAACCCAGGTTTCCAAAACAAATAAAACACAAAGCAGGGTTTCCCTTTGAGCAAAGAAGGATAATCCTGGGCCCCATGTTAGAACTTTGGTCTTTGTTCTGTGAGCTCTGAGAATGAGATGCTCCTTGGCCTGGAAATCTCTCAAGCGTTAGGGCTTGTAGGACTTGCCTGGGCACCTGAAGCTGAGCTGTCTGGGTAGCTTTGACCTGTGTCTGTAATGGAATGGCAAATAATCTCTTCTGCCCTTGCATCACAGACAGCTAGAGTGAGATAGGACCATGGCATCTTCTAGCCCAGCCTCCTCCTTTTACAGATGGAAAGCTGAGGCCCACAGAGGGGAGGTGACAAGGCCCAGGCTGAGAATAAAATACACAATTTCTGCTCCACTCTTCTCCTCCCAAAGTTGGATCTGCCTAGAGATGTGCAGAAATGAGGCAGCCACACTGTACTGGGAGAGTGTCCTGAATGAGTGTTGGGAGCGTTGGGTCCAAGTTCTGATTCTGCCGCGAATCTTTTTTTGCAAGCTGCTGCTTCTCCCTGGGCCTCAGTTGTCTCACTTGTGAAATGACGGGGTCAGACTCCTTGTAGTAAGTAGACTGTCCTGTTGCTTTCTAGGCCCCTTCCTAAAGATTTAGGTCTGGTGTCAGGGCCACCTTTTTGGAAGGGACATTTCTATATCCTACCTGTGTAGGCATAGGAAGGTAAGTGAACCTCATTGAGCCGCAGCTGTGAAGTTGGGGATTTAGGTGAGAGAAGCTCACTTTCAAGCCCCCAAGCCAGGAGTCTGGGATGGGGGACTAGGATGGAGTTGGGGGCAGGGAGATTGTTGTACAAGGGTCACTGACTATTCCATGAATAGTGTCTTTTTTCTGCTAAGTGTTTAAAAGAAGTGGCAGGGTATATAGGAAAGAGCCCTGAGCTTTGAGTCACAAAACCCAGCTCTGCTGCTTGAACGAATGGGTGAAAAAACATTGATTCGACGTTTCGTGTGTGCCAAGACCTGTGCTGAGTGCCAGGGTACACACGGTTAGAAGAATGAGACAGGTCCTGCTCTCAAGATGCCTCCTGAAGGAAGGTTCTGCCACAGAGTGAGGGGCAAGGCCTGGGGGTGCTGAGGGTGCTTGGGCAGCTCCAATGGCAGTGCCAGCAGCTCTGGAGGACCCACTGCTTATGGGCCAGAAGAAAGTAGCTGTCCTTAGGGAAAGTAGCTGGTGACCCCGGCTTATCCAAGCAGTATCAGTGGCCATGTCTGCTCAGCAAGGCGTGAGGGATTAGAGATGGGGCCTGGTGTACCACCTGTGGGAAAAGACAAGTGGGCTGAAAATGAGAGTGGGTGTAGGCAGTCATCGTAGTCAGGAAGGAAAGAGGGAAGAGAGAATTGGCCGGAAGGTCATGGGCCAAGAGGAAGAGGTTCCCGTGATACCCGAGAATCTTAATAGTTATATCTACCATTATACTCAGCACTCGCTCGCTCTGGGTTTCCTCATCCAGAAAAAGAGGACTGTCATTCTTGATAGGCAGCTAGGTGGTACAATGGGTAGAGCGCTGGGCCTGGAGTCAGGAGGACCTGAGTTCAGATGCGGCCTCAGGCACTTACTAGTTGTGTGACCCTGGGCCAGTTACTTAACCCTGTTTGCCTTAGTTTCCTCATCTGTCAAATGAACTGGAGAAGGAAATGGCAAGCCACTCCCGTGTTTTTGCCAAGAAAACCCCAAATGGGGTCATGACACAACAGTAACAACAAAAGCCCTTCATAGACTAGGAAGAAAGTAGTTTGTAAACCTGGGATTTCCTTACTATCATAATTAAAAAGCAGTTGGAGAACTCTGCTCTGAAAATGGTAAAGGGAGGGAGTGGGGAGCGCAGCAAACACATCACCATTCACCAAACCCTGGGCCCTTTATCTGTCTCCCCTTGCACAGAGCCCAGTGCCTTGCGTTCTGTAGGAACTTCATAATTAGGTGAGTGACTTGGTGATTTCATGGGACAGGTCCCCCAGGGGAGCATGCACAGTGCATTGTATATATCAGCATAGAGGGGTGGACAGTGGAAGCAGAGATCTGTAGGGCTCTGTTTCCTTTGACTTCTGAAAATAAAGATTTCCTGCCTTTGCAGTCTGTGGGCTGAGTTGTTTAAAGATCCCTGTGTCTGTGTTTCTCCAGCTTGGCCTTGAGCGCTTTCATGGCGTGGGGATCCTGGGATTTAATTCCGCAGAGTGGCTCATTGCTGACCTTGGCACCATCTTCGCTGGGTAAGGGTGTCCATACAGCTCGACTTCCCTAAGGACTGCTGTCCTGTTAATTAACATAGGATGCCTTTCGGAATGATTCGAATGATCCGGACTGAGAGGGAATGGGCCCCTGGTCTCTTGGCCTCCTCCCTCCCCACCCTTCTTTCATTCTCTTGCCCCTACAGAAAGGCCACAGGTCACTGTTCTAGAGTCCATGCATCCTGACGTAGCCTGGCCCAAAGGTGATTTTTAATCAATTTGCTCACTTTACAAAAGTGATTCATTAAAGTACTTGGTAGTGATTTACATTGAAATTAATTTCAGTGCGTAAAAGCTTGTGGCATTTTAATTACTTCCTCTAAATGAGGATTTTTTTCCCCCAGTCTTCTTTGTCTCTTGTGTCATAGGTAGTGTGGACTTGATTCTTCTGACTGATCTTTTTCTGCTTTGCATAAAGGTCTTTCCATATGCCTTTATATTGTATCATGGTACTTCATTATATTAATGTACTGTGCCTTATTCACCGATCCTCTTTTGTTGGACTTTGAGGTCATTTCCAGTTTTTTATAATCACAAATAATGTGGCTATGAAAAACCTTTGAACAGATAGCCCTTTCAGGAGGAGGAGAAGAGAGGTTTGATAATAAAACTTTCAGATCCTCTTCCTAGCAATGAAATTATTGGCTCCACAAAGCATGATTTTTTTTGTAAGTGTTCTGTCAGATTGGTCTCCAACCAAACTCTATAAGTAGCTGTAGACCCTAGCTTATTCATCTAACGCCTCCCCAATCATTACACACACACACACACACACACACACACACACACACCCCGCTTCATTTTTTTTGCTATTACATATAAAATTGCTATGAATAATTTTGCATAGAGTAAGTACTTTGTAAAAAATGTTTATTGAAACTTTTTATTATGACATGTATACAATCTGACAAAGTCAAAGTTCCTGAGAACTGTTAAGAGTAATTGGCATGCAGTCTTACAATAAGGTAGTTTACTGTTGGTTAGAAGAAAGTTGTGTGCTTCTGCTATAATTAGCATCCATACTATCTATTTTTTAAATTTCTATTTTGTGACTGTTGTCTTTGATATAAACTTTATATAGCTGTTGTCATTGTGTATATGAGGTTGTTTTTTTATAATTGTTTGATGTAAATCTTCCACATTTCTTTGAATTTTTCATATTTATTCCTTGTGGTAGAGTAACAATCCATTATGTTCACACACCGTGGTTTGTTCAGCCATTCTCTAATCATTGGGTACAAGGCAGGGACAATTTGACTATATCAATAGGCATTTTTTTTCTTGTCAATAATTTCCATGAAGTTCATTAATAGTGGGATCATTGGGTCAGAAGATAGGAACAATCTTGTTTTTCATCTAGAATTTCACATCATTTTCCAGGTCAGTTGGAACAAATTACAGCTTCACTAGCTGTGAATTACCATGCTTATTTTCCCACAGTCCTGTCAACACTGAAACGTTTCATTTTTGCCAATTTTATGGGTGGTTTGGGGTGACATCTCAAACTGTTTTAACTTTGAATTCTCTATTAACAAATTTGAGCATTTTTAAAATTATAGTTTCATAGGTTCATAGATATAGAGCTGAAAGACCATCTAGTCTACTTTACAGATGGGGAAACTGAGGCTTAGAAAAAATGAATGACTTGCCCAAGGTCATATGGGTAGTGAGAAGCAGAATTTGAATCCAGATAGTTGTTGAAAGGGTATGTATTTGGGGGAGGGTGTCAGGGTTAATAGTTTCTGTCTTTTGCCCATTTAGATAGGATTTCTTCTCCCCTCCCCCCTTCAGTTGGGCAAGTTTTAATACAATTAGTAGGCAGTGCCTTTTCTCACACAACTAGGATTTCCTCCTTTGGGGGTAAAGTAACTCAAATTCAAGATAGTATAATTCAAGATAAATAAACTGTCTTTAGGGTACATTGGAAAAGTCCACAGGGTCCACAGTGGGCGGGTACCAGGCCTTTCCCACACTAAGGTCCTTTTTTTTTTTCCCTACAGGGGATTGGCTGTTGGCATTTACAGCACCAATTCTCCAGAAGCTTGTGAGTACGTCATTAACCACTCTCAGGCCAACATCTTGGTGTTGGAGAATGAAACACAATTACAGAAGATTCTCCAGGTAACCAGAGGCTGGCTTTGCTTCTGCTGATAACACCTTGCCCAAGGACCTTTGGGTCCCTTCTGAGGTGCTGACCTCTCCTAAGTGGGAGCAGAGTGTCGGTGGGGTATGGTGAAAAACTCCAGGTTGGAATGCGGGAGACCCAAGAGTGCATCCCGAGTTATTTCCTGTTTGTAGGAGTCTTTCCTTCCTCTGATGACGCTGTCCCTTATTTTTCTAATGCCTTACAATTAGCTCAAAGGGAAGATGGCATGAGTATTACTGTCCCGTTGTACAGACGGGAAGACCAAAACACAGAAGGCTTGTGATTAACACGGGACAGAGCCAATAAGTAGCAGAGCGTGTCTGATAGCCTTGCCACTACGTCACATGAGATCTCGGACCTCAGAGCTGGAAGGGGCCTCAGAGGGCAACTTGCCCAACCAGGACCAGGATGAGAATCCTCTCTACAACATCAGTCAGTCAGGGTGCATTTATTAAGCACGTACTAGGTGCTGGGCACCTAGGACACACAGATAAAAAAAAAGAAACAGTCCCTACCCCCAAGGACCTTACATTATATCAGAGAAACAACATGGACACATACACTTACAGAGTATGTGCAGAGTAAACATGAGACTGTTTGGGGTTTGTTTGTTTGTTCCCAATAGGGGAGAGGCACTAGCAGCTGTGATAACGGGGTAGATGTGGCGGAGATCCGGAGAGGCCTTATGAGCTAGGCATGTTGAACGTACACTGACCTTAGAAGGAAGCTAGGGTATCCGAGAGGTGTGGAAGGGGAGGAGAAGAGCCTCCCAGGTGAGGGCTCAGCCTCTGCAAAGGCACAGAGATGAGAAATGGAATGGCAGGTAGGCCAGGTTGGTTGGAGTGCAGTGTACATGACTGGGGAGTGACACATAGAACACAGCTGGAAAGGAAGGCTGGGGCCAGAAGGCAGAGGCCTTTAAATAGCAAACGGGTTTATGTTCCCAGAGGCCCAATATCCAGCTTTCTCCTTGTTCTCATATGCTATGGCTGGAAGTCTGCTCATCATTCTTATGCACTTCATTTTGCACACAATATTCTTCCTAAGATGTACCTCTCACCTCAGCCCTGAATCATCAGACAGTGTAGTTCTGATGTCATCAGACTGGGGCCCAGTGCTCCCATGCTCTGGACACTGCCTCTGCTTGGTATGGCTTGATGGTGTGAGATTTTGTGGGTGCTGTGTCACCTGGTAGAATTCTAGAGTCTCAGAGCTGGGAGGGACCCCAGCCCATCTAATCCAACCTATACTTGATTTTGTTTTGTTTTTGGAGGTAATTGGGGTTAAGTGACTTGCCCAGGGTCACACAGCTAGTAAGCGTCTGAGATTGGATTTGAATTCAGGTCCTCCTGACTCCAGGGCCGGTGCTCTATACAGCTGTGCTACATAGCAGCCCCCCAGCCTATACTTGAACAAAATTCTCCTCTGCAACATTAACAACTGGTGGTCATCCAGCCTTTCTTTGCTTAAAACTGCCTCCCAAGACAACCCCGACCATTTTTGGAATCCGGCTTATTTGCTGGGGAGATGTTCCTTCCGTCAGACCTACAACTTTCCATCCACTGCAACTAGTTGTGTCTTCCAGGGCCAAGCAGAATGAATCCAGCCCCTGTTTCCCGTGACGGCCCCCCAAATGCTTGAAGACAACAGTCACATCTCCCCTTTCTCTTTTCCAGGCCAGACATCATCAGTTCCATCAACCCAGTCTTCCTGTGGCCTATTTTCTAGAACCTCACTCTCCTAGTTTCCCTCATCCTACACATATTTCAGATTATCTGTCTTTCCCAAAACATGGGACTTAGACCCGAATGCAGAACTCCAGATGTGATCTAACCAGAGCAGAGGATGGGGCAATTGTTGAGGTTAGTGAGGTGCTGGATTATCATTTCCTTCCTTCTGGACATTGTACCTCTCAGGACCACCTAAAGTCACATGAGGGTTTTTTGGCTCCCACATCTCCCTCTTGACTCATTTTGAGGTTATAGTCCGATCACGCCCACATCCTTCTGCTATGACCTCTTGTCGGACCCACCTCCTCCATTCTCTGCCCCAGTGGTGGATTCTCTGAACCCAGGAGTTTATCCCTAAATTTGACTTTATTAGATTTGTCTCATTTGGATCTCACCCCTGTCACCCAACATGCTAGTAACCTCTCCCAGCTTCCTGTTATCTGCAGATTTGATTAGCAGTCTGCCTCTGCTGCTGCTGTGTGATGGATAAAAGTTGTTGAAGAACACGGGACCAAAGACGGATGCCTGGAGAGTTCCATGAGGGGCCTTCCTCCGCCTTGAAGTGCAGCTCTTAATGACCACTCTGGGTCTGCTCCCTCACCTAGTTCTGAATCCCCCTAACTCTGTTACTATCCAAGCCACATCACTCCATCTTGTCCATGAGAAAAGCATTTTCCATTTAGCAAGCATTAACTGAGCACGGGCACTGTACCAGTTCTTGTTCAGTTGTGTCTGACTCTTTGTGACCCCATCTGGGGGTTTTCTTGGCAAAGAAACTGGAGTGGTTTGCCATTTCCTTCTCCAGCTCATTTTACGGATGAGGAAACTAAGGCAAATAGGGTTAAGTGATGTGCTAATAAGACACAGCTAGTAAGTATCTTCTCATCTGCCACTCTGGTAATCTGTTGAAAGATGAAATGAGGTTAGTCTGGCATGAATTTTGCTTAATGAAGTCACATTGGTGTTCATTGATTCCCAGGGGAAGGCAGTCTGATGTAGTAGCTGGAGTATTGGACTTGGAAGCCTTAGGTTTGAATTCCACCTCCCACAGTTTCAAGCTCTGTTGTCATGGACAAGTCTTTCAGCCTCTCAGATCTTCAATTTTTTCATCTATAAAATGAGAATAATAATAGTTACACCACCTTAAGCCTCATGGGGTTTGTTGTGAGGAAGGTATTTTGCAGCACCAAAAATACTATAGAAACATGAGCTACTCTTTCTCACAATTCATTCTTTTAATATTACCTTCTAGGATTTTGCTAGGAATTGAAGTCCATTTTATGAGGCCATAGTTTGAAAATTCTGCTCTCCTTTTCTGAAAATTGGCAATTTTTTTGTCCTTTAGTTCTGTGCCACTTTTTTCTGTGTGCTAAGATATTTTTCGAGCTCACTGATGGGCTCAGCTAGTCACATGTCATTTCTTCCAGTATTCTGAGATGTGGAGTTCACCAGATTCGTTAAGGGCAACTCTCTTTTTCTTCTTCTTCTTTTTTAATATTAACTAATTAATTTTTAGTTTTCAACATTCACTTCCATAAGATTTTGAGTTCCAGATTTTCTCCTCCTCCCTCCTTCCTCCTCTTCCCCTCCTCACGACTGCATGCAATCTGCTACTGGTTCTACGTATACATTCATATTAAACACATTTTCACATTAGTCACGATGTAAAGAATTAAAAACAATAGGAGGAATCACGAGAAAGAAGAAACAAAAAAAAACAAAAAAAAAGAGCAAATAGTAAGCTTCGATTTGCATTCAGACTCCATGGTTTTTTTTTCTGAATTTGGATAGCATTTTCCATCGTGAGTCTTTTGGAGTTGTCTTAGATCCTTGCATTGCTGAGAAGAGCTGTCTGTCAGAGTTAGTCATCACACAGTGTAGCTGTTACTGTGTACAATGTTCTCCTGGTTCTGTTCACTTCACTCAGCACCAGACCATACAAGTCTTTTCAGGTTTTTCTGAAATCCACCTGCTCATCATTTCTTATAGCACGGTAGTATTCCATTATATTCATATACCATAACTTACTCAGCCATTCCCCAATTGATGGGCATCCCCTCAATTTCCAGTTCTTTGCCACCACAAAAAGAGCTGCTGTAAATACTTTTGTACACGTGGGTCCTTTCCCCATTTTTGTGATCTCTTTGGATATAGACCTAGAAGTGGTATTGCTGGGTCAAAGCGTACACACAGTTTTATAGCCCTTTGGGCATAGTTCCAGATTGCTCTCCAGAATGATTGGATCAGTTCACAACTCCACCAGCAATGCATTAGTGTTCCAATTTTCCCATATCTTCTCCAACATTTATCATTTTCCTGTTTTGTTGTGTTAACCAGGGCACTGTATTTGTTAACCATTTCTTTCTGGGCCTTCCCAGACCTGAGAACATTCTTTTTCTGAAAAGAAAACTGAAGCAAATTAGGGATTGAGTAGTTCTGCTTTCTTTTCATTGTCCATTATCATTATCTGATCTTCCGTGAACAACAAGTGGTCATATCCTTACTTTGATCATACTTTAACCTCCAACATAGCAGTTTTGTGTCCGTGTGGTCATTACTGGTCTCGGCTCATTCAAACAATAAATGTTTATTAAGTGCCTACTGTGTGCCAGGCACTGCACTCACACTGTGGGCTTTAGCTGTTGTGACCTACTTTAGCTTGCCATTCGTCCTTCAGCAGGTTCCTCCTTCATTCTGAATCTCGTTTCCTTCACTGGGTGGCTTCAGACAGCCCCTCAGTTCCTCCAGCTCTGACATTTCATGTTCTACTGGAGTCAGAGACCCTGGGTTTGACTCTCGGCTCTTCATTTGTGTAAGACTTGGGAAAAGTCACTTCCTCTCCCAGGGCCTTAGGGGGTCAGACGAGATGGTCTCTCAAGTTCCTTTAGTCCTAGAGCTCTGATCCTGTGATCCCACAGGTCCCTCCTAACTCTGATCTTTCCTGTCATGATGCCATATCCTCTGTCTTTTGTGTCCTAGCTCTGTCACTGGCATGTTTCTTGGGATCATCCGAGTACAGACCATACTGGAGGGAAAGGGGAAGGGATTCCTGCTCAGCTATGCCTGGTATTAGGTGGCGTCTGAGGCCCCTTCTGGAAGCTAGGTGGATAGAATCCTGGGCCTGGAGGCAGGAAGACCTGAGTTCAAATCCAGCCTCAGATCAAACACTTGACACTTACTAGCTGTATGACCCTGGGTACGTCACTTAACCCCAATTGCGTAAAAAAAAAAAGAAAGAAACAGAAGGACGTCTTGCTGGGTCAGGCATCGTCAGTGGCATTTCCACCAGTGCATTATTTAGCTCTGGATCCTGTCTGCCGGAATCTCCTGGGAGGGGATATCTGAGGGCCAGCTGAGTAGTTCCTGGCGTAGGTGGCCTTGGCATCGTGAAGGTGGGACAGACCAGGTTCAAATAAATGGTTGAACTTGAGAAAGTGAGCACTTGAGGTGGCAGTAGGGGAACGTGAGTATTTCTTTCAGTTATATGAAGGGGTATTGGGGCAAAGGGAGAAGATTTGGTCTTTAGTGCCCTGGGTGGGTGGGGGGGATCTGGACCGATGAAGTTGGGTAGAGGTGGTAGATTCTGTCTCAGTATAAGGAAGCACTTTCTAGAAACTGAAATCTACAGTGAGGAGAGGTAATGAGTTCCCTGTCCAGAAGAGGTCCAGTTGACTTGTGTATTGGTTATAGGATGGATAAAGTGGCCCCTTTGGTCCCTCTCAGTTCTGAGATTCTAGGCTCCTCCTTCAGATACAAGCCCTACTCCTAGCTACCACTATCATCACATTTCTTGGCCTCAGTTTCCTCTGCTATAAAAATTTTAAGGGTTGGATTAGATGATCTAGCATTCTGTGGCTCTCTCTGACCTTGACACTGAGAGTCAATCAAATTCTTTTTCAGGTTAGGGAAAAATTAAGTCATCTGAAAGCAATTGTCCAGTACAGGGGGCAGATCAAAGTGAAGAGGCCAGACCTTTATTCTGTAAGTATGAGCTTCGCGCAAGGGGCAGGGGGGTCAGGGATGGGTGAGCAGGAGCCCTGGGGACAGACAGCAGGTCAGCGGCATCAGGGATCTTTGCGCTTGGCTAGTCTGTGGCACTGGGCTTTGAGGAGGGCTAGCAATGGCTCTGGGGTTTGGAGAAGGGCTTGGAACGCACTGCCGTACTCCTCAGGGACATGCCAGCTGGCATCCTGGTTAAGAAGGGCTCCTGGGCTGAGTCTGGAAGGTGGTGAAGACAGATAAGGCATGCTTTGAGCCGGAGGTAAAAACTGACTTTCAGGAAGCCCATGCCTCAGTGTCCCTGGACAGTCCAATTCCTATGTCTTGTCTAAATCCATTAGACCCAGGATCACATTGATTCTCCTTGACAGCTCAGCTGTCTGTGTGCCTTCCCCTCCTCTCTCCTGGTACAGTGGGATGAATTCATGGCCCTGGGAGAGAGTGTGCCCGATGAGAAGCTGAAAGAGGTCCTTGACACCCAGAAGCCAAACCAGTGCTGTACACTGATCTATACCTCGGGGACCACCGGGCCACCGAAGGGGGTGATGCTCAGTCATGACAACGTGAGTGTCTTTCTCTTCCCCACGTCCGCTCTGTAGAAGGTGATGTCAGGACACGCCCCTTTCCCAGTGTAGGTTGATAATTTGTAGAATAATTGGCCTCAGAGGGTGATGATCTCCCATCTTTGGAGGGGTGCAAGCAGAGACAGGGGATCCCTTCCAGCTCTCAGATTCTGTGATTCTGCGTGTTAATGCAGAAACTCACCTTAGGGGCCCTGAAGGACACTGTTGGGTGGTGGAGAACCATATTTAACCCTCTGGGGATTGAGCCTGATTTGTTGATTTAGCATGCATTGTCTCCTGTCAGTCTCAGTCATTAACCCTGAAGATCTGTGGTGTCTTAAACACTGTTGACCGGAGGCCCTACAGGCCAGGGGTTTCCCATTAATTCTTAGGGCCACGGGCCTGGTGATTTCTCCCCAACTCTCTTCCCATTTAGTTTTGGCCCAAACCTTATCCCCAGAAATAACCTTTCCTAGTGCCCCACACTATGTCTAGATTTCTGTCCTTGGGATTGTAACTTATTTGGGTACTGCTGCTGTGCTCTATGAGCAAAGCAGAATGGTAGTAGCTTAAAAGAAATGTGAGATGTGCAAATTTAGAGACATCTCCACTCCAAATGTTCACGTGGACTATTTGTGCCTGACCTGTGGTAGAGCCTTCCGACCTCATGTTGGTCTGATCAGCCATGGTCAGACGCACAGTACCTTGACCCCGATGTGGCGATGTCATTTTGGTCCTCTGTGAGCATGAAGGACAGCAGCCAACCATTTGGGTACATACTGCGTAGCCCTTAGTAGATCTGAGCCTCAGTTTACTCCTTTGTTAAATGGGGATGATACTCCTTGTGTGATTGCTGTGGTTGAAGCTTTGTGACCTTAAAAGTGTGCTTCAGTTTCTAATCTGACCTAAGAGCTGATGATTGATTTAGTAAATATTAATTGAATCCTTATTCTAAGATGGTTTGATTCTTCAGACATTTATCAAACCTCCTATCTTGTGTGGGGCATTGTAGGGGATGTAGAGATGAAATAGATAATCTCTGCCCTCAGGGAGCTTCTAGTCTGTTTGGTGGAGAAATGACACAGACAGAGCCATGAGTAAAGGGGAGGCGGCTTGGTGGCAGGCCCCCCGCTGCCTGCCCCAGGTCTACAAGAAGGGGCTGTCTTTCAGATCACATGGACGGCTAGCATGGCGACAAGCAGCCTCACGTTGAACTCCCCCCCGGAGCAGCAGGAGATTGTGGTGAGCTACCTCCCCCTCAGCCACGTTGCTGCCCAGATGATGGACCTCTGGTTACCCATGAAGATTGGGGGCACCACCTACTTTGCTCAGCCCGATGCCCTCAAGGTAAGGAAGTCCAGCGTGCCGTCTGAGTCGCTGTCAACCCAGTGTTTAATTGTGGGGTTAAAGGGAGAACGCGTGGCTTTGTAAGTGACAGAGTGGGTGCCTGACGCCACCACATCCACGCTCGCTCTTCTGCAAGTCGTTCTAGGTGTGTAAGGCCTAAAACCTGAGAGGGCACCCCCCACGCCTCACCTTGGCTAGCTTTTTCCGTTTTCTTAATAATGACTCTTGTTTCTGTTACCTTTGAAGCTTTAGAAACTCCTCATTGATGACACCTTGTGACGTAAGAGGCGCTATCCCCATTTTACAGATGAGGAAACTGAGGCAGGGAGATTAAGTGTCTTCCCACGGTCACGTGGCTAACAAGCATTAGATGGCTTCAGCAGAGGTTCTGATTCTGAAGTCTGTTCTGCCCACTATGCCATGTTCTTGCCTATGCTTGACGTGTATGGTGACGTAGTATGGAAAAAAGGAAGTGTAGAACGTAAGCTCTGTGAGGGCAAGAGCTGTTTGTTTTTGTCCTTGTACCCCAGTTCCTGGAGTATAGCAGGCAGCATGGTGTGATAGCAACATCAGTCACAGCAGCAGCAATAATAATAGCATTTGTAATGTACTATAAAATTGGCAGACATTTTCCATAAGAAATTTTAACCCTTTGAGCCTCACAACTACCCTGTGGGGGATAGATGCTTTTATCCCCATTTTATAGATGAGTAAAGTAAGGCTGAGAGAGATGAAGCGACTTGCCCAGGGTCATACAGCTTGTACATATCTGTGTAGGATTTGAACTCAGGTCTTCCTTATTCAAGTTGAGCACTCTATTCATTATCACAAGTGCTAGACTTGAAATCAGGAAGGATCTGGGTTCAAATGTTGTTTCTGATATTTATTAGCTCTATGACCCTGGGAAAGACTTCAGCTCGGCCTCAATTTCCTCAACTGTAAAATGAGGATGATGATAATAATATCCATAGTTCCTACCTTATGAGGTTGTTGTAAGGTTCAGATGAGAGTAAAGAATGAGTAAGATAGGGTCAACCAAAGCTACCTTGAAAGTCACCCCTGAGCCTAACACTTGATTTATTTGTTTTTAAAACTTGTTCAGAGCTCTAGAGAAACCCAGGAATATGTTTTTTGGTATTTTATTTCTCATTGATAAAATTGTAATCTCTCATTAATTAGCTTGAGCCCATATCCCAGTTCACTAAATATTAATTGTTTAATGAACTGAAGAAAAACTTTTTCCCAGTGGTGATTATTTTTTTTTCTCTATGTAGTGAATGACTTGATTTCCTATGATTAAATAAATATTAAAATCACTGACTTGATACCTTTTATGAATAAATTTTCTAACCTGTCACTGTTAACAACAGTTCATTTCTCTTCTCTTGTGAAAACTCAGTCTTACATTAGGTTTTCTCACGATACCAAGTAATGTCTGTTCTAAAAAATTCTCATTAAAAGATAAAAGTTGAAAACAGCTTCACTGCGGAAAAAAATCTTCCCATTTCCTTTCTCCATCTTCTTTAGCCTCTTACCAACCATGACAGGAAAAATGTCTTGAGCTTCTCTCAACTATCCCCTTATTTTTTGTATTTATATGTCTTTTTAAGAAATATTTTTTTCCAATTATATGTAAAATTTTGTTAGATGTCTTAAAAGATCTATTAAAAGATATCAATCTTAAAAAGATAATCTTTAAAAAGATTAAAACATTTTTAAAAAGATAAGCAATATTAAAAGATATCAATCTTTTTGCTTTTACATTGCCTTGATTTCCCACAGTATCTATCCTTCTTCCTCATCTCTCCTTCCCTTGCCCTGAGCCATCCTTTATAAGAAAGAATTTTTTTTTAGAGGAAGAAGAGAAAAAAAAATCAGCAAAACCAATCAATACATAAAAAATCCAAACTCTTATATGCACTTAGACACTTATGCCCCCCATCTCTGCAATCACTTTTAATAATCTCTTTCCATACTTTATATAATGAATCAGAAGTGAAAAATATGCTCTTTCCATCATTCCATAGAGAGAGGCACTTCATAGCAAGGCATTTTTCAACTGCCAGTACAAATTGTGTGTGTGTATGTGTGTATTTTTGTGTGTATGCATTTTACAACATTTCCCTTGGCTTTTTAAAAAAATATATTTTTTTTCCACTTGGTTTTTAAAGAGACAGTATTAATATCTATCATCTCTCAGAGTCATTTGAAACAAGAGTTACGTATGTAATGTGGTTAGTAAAACTTTAAAGCATTATATAAATGTCAGTCATTTAAAAGGAAGGCTTTTTTTTTTAACCTTTAATATGTATAGGGAAATTTCAACGAGTAAATTCTTCCTATCTAGATCAGTACTCATGCTGCAAATTATAGTCTTGAAAAATTGCCCAGAAGACACTAAAAGGTTAAGTGACTTGCATAATCACATAGCCAGTATTTGTTAGAAATGAGACTTGAACCCAGAACTTCCTGATTCTAAGACTAGTTTTCTTTCCATTACACTACATTGCCTCTCTTCTTATTCTTATTTTTTTCTTTGGTTTCAGTCATGTCCGACTCTTCGTAACCCCATTTGGGGTTTTCTTGGCAAAGATACTGGAGTGGTTTTGCCCTTTCCTTCTCCAGACTATTTTACAGATGAGGAAACTGAGGCTTGGCCAGGGTCACACAGCTAATAAGCGTCTGAGGCCAGATTTGAACTCAGGAGGATGAGTCTTCCTCACTCCAGGCCTTGGCACTCTTACCTGCTGTATCACTTAGCTGCATTGCTATTGTTATTAGCCTAATAAATTCTTGTGAATTGGATTGAATGGATGAGCACCAGATTCAGCGTGGTGCCTGGGGTTTGAATTCTGGCCCTAATACTTAGATCTTGTGTGACTTTAGGCACACCGTTTCAGTTCTCTGCGCCTCAGTTTCCTTTTCTGTAAAATGAAGACGTTGGACTCAGTGACCTCTTCTCTGGTCCTGTCTGGATCCAAACGCCTGACTTCAAACCCAGTCCCTTTCCCGCTGCCCTGCCTTTTGTCTTCCTTGTTTGTCGTCTGCAGCTTGACTTTGGTATTTGAGAGTCATGTGGTGCCCACCTGGCCCCTGGTGGCTTGGTTGCTTGGCAGGCTGGAGCCTTCTCTTCATCCAGTGGCCTTTTATTAAATCAGTAAGCATTGATCAAGCTCTCACTATTTTGTGAGTGGTATGCTAAGGGCTGGGGGAAATACCAAGAAACCCAGGCATTGTTCCTTGACCTTCCTTGGTTTCAGCCTTAGGTCTGTGTCTAATCCTCAGAGCTCCAAGCTGATGGGGCTATCCAGGCTGTGGCTGGGACCCAGAGTCCCCTTAACCAAAATGGTGGGAGGGAGGGAGTAGGAGAAGAAGCCCTAGGAAGCTTATGGTGATTATTTATGGGATCAGTCGGAAGAGAATAGACCCGAGTTCAAATCTGGCCTCATACACTTACTAGCTGTGTGACCCTGGTCAAGTCACTTAACCTTGTTTGCCTCCGTTTCCTCATCTGGAGCTAGAGAAGGAAATGGCACACCACTCCACTATCTTTGCCAAGAAAACCCCAAATGGGATCACCAAGAGTCAGACATGACTAAAAAGCTATAGCCTCTTGACATGGGTGTTGGTCCTTACTCTGGCCTTAAGTAGCTTGATTGTTGTTTGCAATCTTTTCATCAGTAGAATATAGCACACAGGTGTTGCCTGCTGGTATACATAAAAATCAGGAGAAGCAGTCAGGAGGGCAGAGCATGGGGCTTGGGGGAAGAGGTGGAGAACACATTTTATAACCAAATAGTGAAAATTTGAGTGTAGCGTCTGATAATACAGTTTCAGTTTAATTCAGCAAATGTTTACTAAACTACTTATTTTGTGAGACTCAATCCACAAGTATTAAGCCCCTACTGTGTGCCTCTGCAGTACTGTCTTAGGGCACTAGGCATACAGATGAATGAAGAATGTAAGAACGGAGAATGAAGCAGTCCCTGTTGCCTGGGATCTTACTTTCTCATGGGGGAGAAAAGATACATATAAAAATGTAAATAGTTTCATGTTAAAAAATACACATGTAGCTTGGAGGGGTGGCACCAAGAGCTGGAATCATCAGGAAAGACTCCATGAAGAAGGTGCGTCTGAGCTGCATCTTGAAGAGAGAGATTCTCTCATGAGGCGTGGGTGATGTGGGAGCACATTTGAAGAGATGTTCCAAAGTCGAAGTTGGCAGGCTTATCAGTAGATGGGCTGTGGAAGCAGAGAGATGCAATAGTGAGGAATCCAGGATGCCCTGGTCCAAGGGCTTCCTTCACTGGTCTGTCTCTATCCTGATAAAATCACAGTTCCTACCTCCTCCAAAAAGCTGTCATCCTGGCTTGCTTTAGGTCGTTGGTGGGTCTCTACCTCACAACACTGTCTGTGTCACACTTGAAAAAACAGGGCAGCTAGGTGGGGCAGTGACATGGAGTCGGGAAGACCCGAGTTCAAATCCAGCCTCAGACACTTAACTGGGCAAGTCACTTACCATCAGCTTCAGCTGTCTCACCTGTAACGTGACACCTGTATGCCATGTTAGAATGTATCTATCCTTTATATTTATAAAATGGCACCTGCCTCCCGGGATTGTTGTGAGAATCAAAAGACAGAAGCTATCAAGTACAGTGCAAGCCTTCAAGCCCTGTATAAATGTGTAATTATCAGAATAGACATAGAGACCAGAGAAGCAAAAGCAGTCTGCCCGAGGTCATCCGGCATTTGCAAGGTGGCCCCTTGCCATTTGCAGAAGTGGGATCAGAACTTGGGCCTTGGCCTGGAGGGCTTTAATGCCGTGCCCTTCTTCTGGGGCGTTGGAAGGCTGGCTTCCTTCCCAGCTGCAGGGATAGCTCAGGAACGTGGTGGTGGCTCTCTGCTGGGCACGTGACCTGATGTCGGTTGAGTTACCGACCGCCTCAGTGCCCCTAAGCAGCTCTAACTGGAAGATATGTTACCAGCCAGCCACTGAGCTGGGTCTGCTTCAGTAGAAGGAACTTCCCCATGAGTTTCCTGGGTGGATAATTCAGGAATCTGGACTCCTCCGGGAGTGGTTCTGGGGGAAGGCACGGCGTGAGATGGGAGGGTCGGGAAGGAGGGTTTTCCTCTAGTTGCTGTTTTTGTTCCGTACCAGTTCAGGGACTGAATCGTGGTGGAAGGGGTCCTAGAGATCACCTCACCTGATCCCCTTAGTGTTCAGCTGGGAAAACCGAGGACCAGCATTCAGGATATACTTATATACATGATGTCTCCCCGTTAGAATGTAAGCCCCTCGAGGGCAGAAACCTTTTCCCCTCGTGCCTGACGTGTGCTTAATAAAATACCTATTGATTAGTTAACCTCACAGCTAGTGAGAGCCAAAAGAAGATTTGACCTTGGCTGCAGACCTTGGGCTATTTCTCCAGCCTCCAGGGCCCTCGAACCCTGAGGCTTGGCCCTCGCTGTATCTTTGGATCAGAGATCCCTAATTCTCCTTCTCTCCTGTTGGCTCAGGGCACCTTGTCTACGACATTACGAGAGGTGAGGCCCACGGCCTTCCTGGGAGTGCCCCGGGTCTGGGAGAAGATGCAGGAGAAGATGAAGGAAGCTGGTGCCAGTTCTTCTTCATTTAAGAAGAAAATAGCCGCGTGGGCCAGAGCCATTGGTCTTCAGACACACATGAGACGGATGAACAGGTGAGTGACCTTTCCTTCAGTAAGGAGCAAGAAGAAGCATCACATGGTTTCTGACCTGAGTCCCCTCTATGACATTCCAGCCTCCACTCAAAGACCTTCAGCCCTGGGGCCTCCCTGCCTCCCTCCCAAAGCAGCCCGTGTCTGTTAGACTGTAAGCTCCCTGAGGGCAGGACCTGGCTTCCCTTTCCTTGTGTCCCCAGTGTTTAGCACAGAGCCTGGCACAAAGTAAGCGTTTTATGAATGGTCCTTAACCGGATCATTGATAGTTCTAATTGTCAAGAAAGCTTTCTTGACATCACACCTAAATTTAGACCCAAGTTCTGATCCCAGATCTGGCATTTAATGACTCTCTCCGTGGGAAAGTCGCTTACTTATGAACTCTGAGCCTAGGTTTTCTTATCTGTAAAATGGGATAATTATACTTACCCAACAGGCCGATTCGGAGGAAAATGCACAAAAATGGGAAAAGAGGCCGGCAGTAGGGGTTGAGGATTGCTACAGGCCCGAAGACCTTACCACTGATGAGGCTCTGGTTTTGATTTCTTTTTAAAGGGAGACACATTTTTCCCTGAGCTACCATCTGGCCAAGTGGTTGGTGTATTCCAAAGTCCGTGTTGCCCTGGGCCTAGACCGCTGTGTCCAGTACTTTAGTGGGGCCGCCCCAATCACCAAAGACACCCTGGAGTTTTTCCTGAGCTTAGACATTCCTGTGTGTGAGCTGTACGGCATGAGCGAGAGCTCGGGACCCCACACGATCACCCACCGAGACTGCTTCAAGCTGCTGAGGTATTCATGCTGGCTACCTTCAGAGGCCATTTGCCCTTTTAAAGGGACGGTCCTTGGACTCATACTGATGAGGGGTGAGAGAAGGGGTGGTGAGTATGTTTTCCTGGAAGGGCCTTTACTGGTGTTGGTGAAAGTGGGGCCAGAAGGAAGAAGAGAGCTTGGTTTTTCAACCTTAGGCTCTTATTTTATTTATTTTTGGGAGAGGCAATTGGAGTTAAGTGACTTGCTGAGGGTCACATAGCTAATAAGTGTCTGAGGCCAACTTTGAACTCAGGTCCTCCTGACTCCAGGGCTGGTGCTCTATCCACGGCGCCACCTAGCTGCCCCAACCTTAGGCTCTTCAGCAAAGGTCCCCTTACCATGCAGTGACCTTGGGCCCTGAAGCCCTCCATCCAGCTTTCAAACCTGTGTGCTGTAGGTTGAGAAGGAAAAGGTGCCTGAAGGCAGGTGGTGGGAGATTAAGAGTCACAGCATGTCTAGATGGGGAGGGCCTCCTCTGACTTCTGGGACAACTTTCTCTCATGGCTCTCTGCCCATCCCTTCTCAGCCTCCAGTATCATGATGCAGCGGGGCAGTTCAAAGGAGATAGCATAGGTCAAGCATTGGCAAACTTGATGGTGTAATAGAATTGTCAGTAGTTTATTACTGTTATTGAAGGGCCCTTAAAGAACACAGTTTCAGGTCTTGGAGGGCCCTTAGAACACAGGATGGCAGAGTTGGGAGGGCCCTTAGAACATAGGATGGCAGAGCTGGGAGGGCCCTTAGAACACAGGATGGCAGGGTTGGGAGGGCCCTTAGAACATAGG